TGAAAATATGTGGCAAAGTTAGAAATTCCAGAAGTGATATCTTTTTTTTAGCAAGGTTAATGATTTAATAAAAATAATAATAATCCATGTTATTCCCATTAAAATTATTTTCTAAAATTTAGTATTATGGTGAATGATAAAAAATAAAAAAACATGTAGTTTGCTATGTACTTTAAAGCCAAATTATTGTATTAGCTTGAATATCAATCATCATGTGCACGTCATGAAAACTGCTTACCGAGTAGGATCCTTTGTCTCTGACAGAATCTCAAGAAGTTCATCATTGGATAAGAAAAAGAATCTTGGGAAGAAAAGACGCTTCTTTTCCAAATATTCATTAAGTCCTTTAAGTATAAGCTCCAAAAGTTCATTGCTTTTTTTCAGCTTTGGTAGCATTTTATCTATGGTCACCACTTTCAGAACTTGCTTTTGCTAAATTTAAAGTTCAATCATCAAATGCAAAATAAGAATAATTTTCAACTAGTTTTCCATTTTGTACTATTAACAGGACTAGGCTTTTAGAAGTCAAATTATAAAATAATACACAGAAATGACTTTGTTCAATATGGCTTAACTTATAGATACATCTCTTTGAGTACACCAGGCAAAAGTAATCTTTGTACTTGAACTTTAATCTTGGTATCTAAACATTCCTTGCTTTAAAGAAATTAATGAACTTGAAAAAATAAGAAGAATAAGGAAAAAAAGGGAATAAGATCCATTCCCTGCTATCTCATAAGGAAATTTTAAAAGAATAACATAAATAAAGTATATTTGGAAAATACTATAACAAAGTTAATCAATAAGCATTTGGGCATGTTGATGAAAAGGAAGATTATAATAATACTGATGACACATATAACAAATTACATTTACTTTAACAATTTTTATTGAGATATCATCACTGAAAATATTTTATGATCCTTGCAAATTACTATCAAACAGTTCTTAACTTTCATAGTTTTGGGTTTTTTTTGTTTTTTTTTTTTTTGGTGAGGCAATTGGGGTTAAGTGACTTGACCAGGGTCACACAGCTATNTTTTTTTTTGTTTTTTTTTTTTGGTGAGGCAATTGGGGTTAAGTGACTTGCCCAGAGTCACACAGATAGTAAGTGCCAAATGTCTGGTCTGAGGCCGGATTTGAACTCAGGTCCTCCTGACTCCAAGACCAGAGCTCTATCCACTGCGCCACATAGCTGCCCCATAGTGTTCTTTAAAGAAGCATTTATGACATATCACAAAATTCTCTGAACTTCAATCTACAGCAGTCTTTACTATTAAGCAGAGTTTGGTGTAAAGTGGGTCTCTCTTGGATACTCCTTAATTTCATTTAATTTCATTCTGTCAGTAGTAGAACGTGAATGCTTGCTAACTCTTATCTATTTATCTATCTGTCCTTCTATCTCAGAGAAGGACTATTTTGTCTTTCTCTTCTTATCACTAGTGCCAGCAGAGCTTCTGGAACATTACAGGTACTTAATATTTAATTGTTGAATTACATTGCATTTCATTTAGTTCCTAAAATACTAAAATGACTCTTTTCTCACTTTATACAACAGAGCCCCTTTAAGGTAGCATTAGAGCAAAGCTCTGCTGCGTTTTGTTTTCTTTCAAGTAATTCAAACTCGCTCAAGCATGAAAAGCTGATTTTTTTTAATGTGTTGAGATTTGTGCTAAGAATAACAAATTTGTGTATTATGGAGTATTCTTATTCCACAAAGTATTATTTCTTTGTTCAAATATAAACAGTCTAACAACCAGTCTCATGACAATTTTAAACTGCATATTAAAATGTAACATATCCATCTCAAGTAAAAGTTGTTTTCAGTCTTCTTTTTCAGCATGTACTGTGTATCACCAGGAAATGCTAAGGGCCCAACGGACCCTGAGATTCAAAACTCAGTATTCACTGCTGGCAAAGTGAAGAGACCTCTGTCTAGATGTATTTTGATTCTTTTCACTGGTAAATAAGAGAAATGGCAAAGCAAATTTCACTAACAAATTTCAATATCAGTTAAACTATTAATTGATACAGAAAGTATATGAGCATATATTATCATCTACGTACAACATCAAGATAATTTCCTTGATGGTTTTCAGAAAGATTATATTACAAATCTAAATAAAATAAATATTATTACGGTTGAAGACTGAACAACGACGAACGCCAACATTAAACAACTAATTTGATGTTTAGATTTTTGTGGTGACATATTCAAGAATAATGAGTTGAGTTTTAACTAACTCAAAATAATCACCTATTAACTATTTAATGCTTCCATATGAATTATCTCCTTTGACAAGCTCTTTTCAAACATATGAGTCACTATATGTTATGTGAATGTCCACAAGGAAATTTTCTTTATTATCTAACAGTATAATTTGAGAATTTGGTAATTAAATCAAAGAATAATGTCATTTTCATTAATATATGTTTCCCTAAAATATTTCCACATAAAATGTATAACATGATTAGCCCTGATTATTTTAGAAGGCAAGCATTTAAAGAAGGTGTTTTGTTTATACTTCCTGTAGTTTTATGCTAAAAAAGGTACATTGAAAAAGAACCTAACTAAAATCCAATGTAAAACCCCCACAAGAGATAGACTTGAGTTAATATTTAAATGGATGCCTTCTTTTGGATGGAGTACTTTTTCATTCTCACATCCAAACAATAGAAAGCTGTACTTAGAGTGCCACCTTCTGGAAAACCATGTTTTTATTTTTATTTTTTTATAACTTCAAAAAACTTCTTTAACAAATTTATAATATTTTTAACCTAAGGAAGAAAACAATATTTTAACATTTGTACTTTGTAGCCAATATTTGACACCTCAATAATAATAATAAACAATAACTAGCATTTACATAGTATTTTAGGATTTGAAAAACACTGTACACACACAAACATTATGGAGGAAGAAGAGAACGGGGCCCAAAACAGAGCCATGGGAGACTNGATAATAATAAACAATAACTAGCATTTACATAGTATTTTAGGATTTGAAAAACACTGCACACACACAAACATTATGGAGGAAGAAGAGAACGGGGCCCAAAACAGAGCCATGGGAGACT